ATAATATTTGCATAGTATAAAACTAATCACTCGTAAATTATACAACTTTTAAATTGATAAAATTGTATGGGAGCAAATGTATCTCAGATAATTTATAAAAATTATAACGAGAATTATATACAACTGTATACTATAGAACTAAATACTTACACATGTTTCATCGAAATGTAGCATTTACATCTAAACAGACTCTTGTTTCATTGTTACCGAGAGAGGCATTAAGAACTTAGAACGAAATATAAACCCAATTAACCCATTAGCGAAGGGTTGAAGAAATAAAGAAAAAGAATAACACAAAAGGACAACCGACTTAAGTCGTAGTCAACAATTTCTCAGTGAAATGCATACTATATCAAAAGTATCTTACAAGCGAAAGCCATAATATTTCTAACCATCAAAACGACAAAATGAGAGTACATAACTTGAAGATAATCCAATTCCCTACCAAGTTAATATTTCAGTAGCATACACACAAAAACAGAATTAAAACAATAAATACATGAGAGAATAAACAAATCCCTCTTTTCGAATTCAAGCTCCTAATGGAGCAGCACAGCAAAAGTCATATGATTATTCAATTTAAACAAGGAATTTAACTGGTTTATTAAGTTTATTTTACCCCTAAACCATATGACAATTCAATTTAACCAAGGAATCAATTTAAGGAAGTTAACATTTTGGCATCCTCTTTGTGTTATTCACCACTAAAAATTGCTTTGATTTTAACTCATTCTCTATACGCGACACCATGGGTTCATAAGCAACATTATTATTGACTTCCTGTTTCGATGCACATGTCACTGTTGAGGCAAACAAATTGTTTTTTTTTAATTTGGACTTCCATATACATATCAGTGTTTGAAAAAATTTTGAGGAACAATGTATGAAACAGAGGAAACAAACTAAAACAGTAACTTCCTCAGTTTAAACCAATCCTAGTGCAGAATACAAAATGTCATACATACCACTCCCAATGCAGATATGAAAAACAACATATGGAAGTATTTGCAACGATTTTTACATTATTACTAGATTTTATCAGTTTTAGTTGCATGTGACAACATCAGATTTATCAGTGGTTTGACCAAAGAAGTAGAAGGCATGATGAACAGACATATGGTTTCATCTAAGTTCCATAGTTAGACATCATAGTCGATCTCAGAATTAATCAAACTGAATACACGATAAAATATTACGTTATATTAGGCTGAACAATGTTATGGTAATGTCACTACACCATAGGGTTAGATAATAGCATATTCTATTAGATATATTATAATGAAAAGTAGTTATGCAAAGTGGAAAACATGCCCTAGTCATGTACTAAATTTCGACATGCTATGTCCATGATGTAGAAGTACAAAATAGAACACAGTAACATTTCTATAAAGAACCAAGATCAGTATAGATGTACCTTATAAAGAAGTGCTTGCAAAGACGACTTCAGTTGAGGCGAGCTATCAGTCAATACTTTCTTTGCAATCCATGGATATGTACTACCCAAAACTTTGTAATTTGGATAAGAATTTATTGCAATTCCCTCCAATACAGCAAGACTGGGTAAGGATAAGTAAATCAATTTTCACAAAGCAGGGTGAACATTGCTCAAACATATTTGTCTTGAATTAACATGTCATGTACATTGTTGAAAGTACTGCTTCAAGTTAGAATCATGTAATGTTTAATCAATTGAACAAATTGCAGTTATTTGCAACCATGAACTATGCGCATAATTGCAGCTGTCTAGGAAACAGATGAAAATCTCTCATGTCTAAAAGTTCACTATCTGCATATATTTTGCAATGAAACCGTTATAACCTAGGAGATTTCTATTGTATTCAAGGAATTGACCGCCGACGAAACCAATTTCATATTTTTCAACAAGATCGTTCTTTTTACTGCTGGAGAATCTCAGTTCTAGAAATAACAATCCATTACTGCTGAAGCAAAATGAAACATAAAACCCACTAACCGCATTTGCAGTCACTTTTCTACTATGTCCCACGAAATTACCTCCATTCCTACTTCCAGACAGGAAGATAAAAAAAATCATATTTACACCATCTTTCGAAAACAGTGGTTTCTTTGTATTACAAGGTTGCTTCGAAACAAACATATTATAAAATAAAGAACTTCAATTTCTTATTTTATGTGGAGATGCCAAGGATAAACATAGCCAATGATACCAAAGGACATTATAGAAGATGAACAATAAATCCAAAATTTAAAACAATAAATCCAAGGATAAACATAACCTAACCTGGGTATGGCGAAATGCGACGACGCCGGAGACGAAGAAGGCACGGCGCAGTGAAGGAGATGGCTACTGGTGTTTTCTGGGTAAATTGTAATCGGAAAATCGTAGACAAATCAATAAGGAAGAATGGCTAGGGCTTCAGGAGTTTTAAAACTGGCTTTGCGGCGTTTAACATTACAAACGCCGCTGATATGTAACTAATTGCGGCATTTTTAATTAAAAAATGTCACGTTTGTTAAAATCAATTGCGGCGTTTCTTGTAAAACGCCACTATAAACAACTCTATTGCGGCGTTTATATAAAAACGCCACTAATGTACGACCAATTTGCGGCGTTTCTTGTAAAACGCCACTATAAACAACTCTATTGCGGCGTTTATATAAAAACGCCGCTAAATTACCACCCTATTACGGCGTTTGTTGAAAAAACGCCGCTAAAGTTTCATTTTCCGGCGTTTCGATTGTAAACGCCGCTACATCCTTAAATTTTGTGGCATTTTCCCTAAAAGCACCGCGAAAAACGCCGCTGCATGACACTTTTTCTGTAGTGTATAATATAAATACAGAATAGAAATACAAATTATTGTACATTATAACTTATATAATTATACTTAAGTTCTCTATAATTGTTTAAATTATTATTATTATTATTATTTTCTAACCATGATTTATTTATATATATATATATATATTATAATTTAGATTGAGTTGTTGTATTTTTCATAATAGTAAATCAAATTTAATTATTTTCAAACTTTTAAACCTATTCACCTATTGCAATTATAGTTCATCTTCATACAATGATTTCAATAATTCTTACCATTCATTTTTATCTTATATATATATAAATCATGGTTTCAAACTTTTAAGCCTTTCTGTTTAATATTTTATAATTTAGTTTTATTCTAAATTTTACAATTTAGTTTTATTCTAAATTTTACTTTTTTATATAAACTAAACCAATAATTTGTATTGAATTATTGTATTTTTCATAATAGTAAATTACTTTTAATTATTTTTAAAATTAAAAAATATTTCATTAACTTTTAAAATCCACGCGTGATTTTAAATAAAATAAAGAATTAATGAAATGAGACATGGTGGCATTTAAGTCTGTCATATCTTTGACTGAAAGTTCATGTTTTATTATTTTTATTCTAATAGATTTTATTAGTTTCTATTATCGCAGATTAGTTGCGTGTATAATTACAAACATTTATATTTACATAAATTTATAATAATTACGACTAATAAGAAAAAAATGAATTAAATATAAAAACAGTGAAAGAAAAATTATTAAATAAAATATAAATATATTTTTTCTAATTCTTAAAGAAAAAATATGATACAATTTCAATAAATAACTATACAAATTATATATTAATACATATCTAATACATTCAAAATTAATTTAAAAATCTATTAAAAATAAATATTGTGTACTTTTTTAATATTACAAATGTCTGAATCGATAACTTCAATATGAATCAATTTTAGTCCAACAAATTGAAGTTCACTTTTAATATTAATTTTAAATCGAATTATTATGCATGAATTGGAATTTTAGACTTCGGATTTGAGCTTGGGCTTGTGTTCTAAATTTCGGCCTTAAACCCAATTGTGGACTTTGGAATATGGAAGGTGCCTATTTTGAATTTTGGATTATTAATATTTTAAAGATTTATTTTAAAAATATAAATGATAGTATGTGTTCCTACAACCCTCAACCAATACTTTACTATAATCAGAGCGACTCCAATAATATTACTAATTGATTGAGTTTCGTTATCATAAAACCTCTAAGAAATAGTCCTACGATTAACTAGCTTAGTATATACTCCTACAACCCTCTTAAATACTCTTGAATAACATCAGGCAAAACATCCTTCCCAATCATGCTATGTGTCGAAAGCGATAATGTTACACATCCCATATGTTCAAAGTGATGAAGTAGCACATTTCACATGTCTAAAAGTTAATGGTAAAATTTGGTGATAGAGTTTGAGGGGATAACTTAAAACTTTTTTTAAAAAAATTAGAAGTTTAAATTAAGATTTTAATTTTCTTTGAAGAGTTTAATTTATTTTTTCAGAAAAATTGGATTCTAATTAAAAAATTATAAAAAAAATTGAAAGGATTAATGAGAATTTTTAAAAATTATGAGAGGAGTTTAATAAGAAATTCAAAAAATTTAAAACTTAACATGAAATTTTAAAAAATTTGTGGGACCAACTTAATTTTTTTAAAATTAAGGGTCTGAAACTAATTTTTCAAATTTTTGGGAGACATGACATGCCTCCATTTAGTTATGTCGTTGTCTAAAATGATATCTTGAAATATATCACATGTGCCAAATGATGACATAATATAAGCAATGTATCTCAAAATTTATAGGGCATTACAATTAATTACTCATGCACTTGATATTTTGCGAGATTTGTTTTAGTTAAAAAGGATAACTAAGAATTTTGAATATTTGGATTGACTGATAATAATTCAATTTAAAAAGACAATAAAATAATATAACTCAATTTAGAATAATCAAATATATAATATAACTTAATTCAGAAAATACAGAGATAAAAGACAACAATATCAATTAAAAAAATAAGAAGCCACACATAATTTTATAGCCCAGAAAACTAAGGCTGTGCCTTGATAATAACAAAACAATCTATTATTGAATCAAACAAAAAGAAAAGGGAAACTAAAAGGCTGCCAGCTGATAATTATGGAGATTATTCTGAACCGTTGAAATCAATTACTTTTGTTAATTTCCATAACCCAATAATTATAAGCCCGACAAACAACCTTCAAAGAAGAGAAGCCAGCTTGTTTTGCCAATGTTTCAAACTCTTGTGTGGTCCTTTCTTTAGCACCAGGAAGAACGTGACACAAGTAAACATCTCTTTGGAAGGTTGTCTTTGTTATAAGATCTGTCTGTGGAACATCTGATAATATCGCTTCTATCGATACAATTTTACCATTCTCCGGCAATGCTTCGTAACATACTTTCAGTAACTTCAGGCATTGCTCATCTCCCCAGTCATGAAGCATCGTCTAAAAATATACAAAACCATACGTTAATAATCAAGTTGTTTTGTTTTCATTAAAATTACTTGGACGAATCCAACTCTCTGGGTTTAAACAAAAATATTTCTAGAAACTAACCTTCATGAAAATAACTTCCGATTTAGGAATTTTCGTGAACATATCCCCTGCTACGTGCTCCACTCCTGACATGTCACAAAGAAAACGACAGATTAACTTCATTGTTGAAAATAATATCACGTGCGGTAAAAAAGAAAAAGAAGAGTAAGAAATATTACCTGGGCAGGGGACAGTATCTTTAATGACTTGAGGCAGGTCAAAGTTAATTCCCTTGATTTGTGGGTACTTTGAAACAATGAGCTTAAGATTTGTACCTAAACCTCCTCCCACGTCGACCACTTGGCTTACACCCTCAAACCCCTTGTAAGTTTGGAGAACTTTGTTCATCACTAGGTCGGTGTACACGGACATTGCTCTATTGAAATTTTTTGACATTTCATCATCGGTGGCCTGCAGCTCAAACAAGTGTTTCCCAAATGCTTTCTCACTTGAGAACCCTCCCTCCAATATCGCATCTTTCATGAATTTCCTGTCATAGCCAAATTTATTAGAAAAACAACAACAAATGGTACTCTGAGAATGGATAAAGAAGAGTAGTTAATTACCAGCATTCGATGATGTGCTTGTCAAGGTGGATACGTTGCAATGGAACAAAGGAGATCCCACCTTCGTTTAGAAGGAAGTATTTGCCGACCGATGACAGGCCATACGACCTTTGCATCTGCCCATCTTCGCCGCTGATTTGTTCGCATGTTAAGATGGAGTGAGTGGTTAAAAGCCTGAGGATTCGATCAACAATGGAAGGGGCGTCTGGGTTACTTGTCGGAAGCTGAGACACGATCTCAGCAGCCGACAACATACGAGAAGGAGTGTCGGCTTTGGATATGATCTCTAACAAGCCGAGATCGACAGCTACTTTCAAACCGAAAGGAAGTGATGAAATGGAAGCCAAATGCATGGCTTGCAAGATGGCTGCTTCTTCATGTTGATTTGATGAAATGTTAGACTGTGAACCCATGGCGTTTTTTGAATATCTCAGAGAAGATGACGTTAATTACCAAGTATTCAAAACAACTTGATCTCTCACACTTATTTTCCAACACCGAATCCCCCCATTTTATAGGTAAAAACAGTCAACAATGGGGTTCGAATATCTCAAGATTCATATTTCGGCTCTGCTTCCTTTTTTGAACTAATATATTTATTTATTTGCAAGAGTTGAATCTAAAGCCACCGACTCATGTATGTATTAGTTGAATAATATTCTTTTATTACTTTGTATAGATATTTATTTAAAGATTTTTAATCATTTTGTATTAAATAATTAACGTTTTTACATTTATGATAATTTAAAGAATAATAATAATTTGTTAACCACAGAATTTATATATAAATGTTAGTTGAACCTTCAATATATATATATATATATATATATATATAAATGTTGGAATTAGATTTAAATCGAGTCACTGTATATTTTTAATTTTTTTTTTTGATGATTACACGTTGCATAAGTTTTAGATTTTTATTAAAGATTTAATTTATTTTATATTTAAATATTAACTTTTTAGATCAGAATTATTTTTAGTTATTTGAGTTTTAGATCAGGATTAATTTTAGATAACTTTTAGATTAATAATTTTTATATATTTAGTTGCATCAGTTTCAGATTAAAGTTTTAGAGATTTAGAATATTTTAGATTTAGAAATCAAGAATTTTAAATGTTATCATTTTAAATTATGATTAATTCATATTTAATTATTAATTTGACAATATAAATTATTTTCAAAACTATTAATAATTTATAGTTCTATAATTTTAATTAGACTATTAAATTACTTGAATCAATTAAATTTTTTATACTTAAATTATTATGATTTAACATGTAAAATATTATATACAAAAATTCAGTAATTCTATTATAATTTAATTATATCATACGTATATAGCTTTTATAAACATTAATTTATTGTATATTATGTATAGAAATGTAAATTTTCATGTAAATAAAATGTTATAAGTTATAAATTAATTTTTTAAAAATTTATATTTAATTTGAGTTTCAATCATTTTAATTTTTTGTTTTTATTTTTTGTGAGTCAATGATGAATTCTTTCCATATGAAATTTATTTTCGTCTTTAAAAAGTGAGATTATTTTGCTTAATTTGTTACAACGATTGAAAGAGGTAGTATTCTAAGTAATTAAATTGCGATCATTTTAGGTGTGTGTAATAGAGAAGTGATTATAAAACAACATATGTTTATAATTTTTCTCAACCATTAACAAATATATATACACACTCTATAGACGTAGCTGCAAGGATGGACTGAAAGTACGGTTGCACCCTTTAGAAATTTTAAATCTTCTTATATTTTAGGTATTTTTCTTATATTTTAATAGATTATCTAATTTTGCACCTCCTGAGATTTTATAATTTTGCACTCCCTAGATTTGTAATATAATTTCTTAGAGCAGCACTCCCTGAAATAAATCCATGCGTCTGTCCTTCTCTAGCTGCTCGAACCTAGGACCTAAAAAGGGAACAACATTCAAGTGACTTCAGTGATGAAAATGAATATTATTTTTTGAAGAGATGTTGAATTTGATCAATTATGTTTACATTGATAAATAAATAATCAATTGAATTTCTTATGGATAAACATATATTTATAATATGTAGTTTTCAACGTGGTGAGTATTTCTTATGCAATTTTGTTTGGCTTTTGAATTGTGAGCCGAATATATATTTCAACATCAACATGAAAATCCTCTCTCATAGAGTGGGGTACAGCCGCATAACATTAGTCTAAACATCTAATGGCAACAACAAGTCAACAATGGGTTTCTAATATCTGAAGATTCATACTTGGGCTACTTGTTTTTGGAGCTAATATAATATTACTAAACTCCTGTTTCCTTCTCTGGAACTAATATAATATTTATTTATTTCGGCTATTTGTAAATTATGTTGAGAAAAATAAAGAATTTATATCTCATATCGGTAGGATATAAAGTTTGAGATGTGCTTATATAAATGAATCAACTTGAGTATTATAAAATGTGCAAGATAAGAATTTGTCTCAACCGATATTGGAGGTGCACCCAAATGACTTTAGAACAATATGAGTTTTTCTTTTCTTTTCTCAAAAAAAGAGAACATCCCTTAGAAGTTTTGTTTGAAATTTCTTTTTTAAAAAACAAAATTAAATTGAATTGAATTTAATGGTTCTTTAATTAAGATATTATTTTAGGTAATTGTTGTCTTGATTCACAAGACGGGAATATTAGGCATTCATGGCTCCTTGATTCTTGGATATTTACTGTTATATTATTCGAACATTCTAATAATTCTTCTAGTATGAATACCGTATTTAATTCGTATAAATCTATGAGATAAACACACTCAAAAATATTTTATTTATTTTTAAACAATTTTGGTGATAGAAAAAAAAAGTGAGGTTACATTTTTTATGATCACTATAGTCGTGCTATTGCAGTGTCCATCTCCTTATTGTATTATGGGAGATAGTCGATCAACGTTTCTTCAGCACCGTAGGAACGGATGAATCCATCTTTAAAAACTGTATAAAAATGCATCAATGGCTCTATCATTAAATTTCATATCTGCATGCGGGTAAATAATTATGTTGTTTAATTTTTTTAATTTTGTATCAATTCTACTCTATTTGATACAATGCTAATATCAATTAATTTTATATTATTTACTGTTTTATATCTTTGATAATCCTAACAAGAAAACCTAACAATCTATATCATATATTATATGAATGTTGTATATTTATAGAGTGATTTTATTTATTGCTTTTTGAATACTTTTTATTAATAAATTGATTTTTAAGCATATTATTTATAAGAAATTATAATAATAACAATCTTTATCATATATTATATGTACATTTATCATAACTATTCTCGAATTATCTAAAAACGATTTCGACAGTATTTTTAAAAAAGGTTATTAAAAAATTATTAGAGATTGAGTGTACAAATGTATATATAAAATTATATTAGATGTGAGAATGATTTTTACGTAAAATATTTTTTATTTTTATTAATTTATTTAAAAATTATATAAATTATAATATAATAAAATATTATTATAATAATATTAATTATAATTAATAAATAACATTTTAATAATTATATAATTGAATCAGACCTTAAATAATATGTAACAACTCAATCAAAATTTAATAATAATATAAGTAAATAATATTTTAAGAATATATATTTTTCATTTCCGCCCATTTTGACTAATGTCAAACACAGCTTTTGTTTGTTGGTGACACTTTTCAACTTAATGACTATTCCTGATGTACTTTTCTTTTGTTTCTATAATGAACATAATATATATTTCAACATCAACGTGAAAATTCTCTCTCGTAGGTTAGGTATAATTAGGTTATAAATAAGACGAGATAGATTGTAAGTTATTCGAGATTAATTCGATTAAAGCTCGATAAATATTCGGATCGAATGGACTTGAGTTTGAGCTCGACTCTAGTTCTTAACAAGCCGAAATGATATTCAACTCGAAAAGCTCGTGAGCAACTCGAAAATATAATATATTAAAAAAATTTAAAATAAATTATTAATAATATTAATATTTTTTTATTGTTTTTTTAATACAAGATTTTCATGTATTTAAAGTTTAGGTTCGAGTTTGAGGCTTCAATCGAGTTAAGTTTAATTTTTTTTTCATTTTGAGATACTCACGAGCTTCAGTTCAAGATTTCAAGTTCGAATCAAGCTTATAAATTTTAAACTGGCGTGTTGTACGCTTTTTCATTCTACCTTGAACACCGACAGCCCATCAATATTGACCTCCACATTACAAGAAAATGAATTGTCAATGCTTAAATTTTTTTGAGAAAGTTAACTGCTTTTGTTTAACAGTTTTAATAATAATTATTTTTACATTTTTCTTAAATAATATTATTTAATTTTAGTAAAAATATTAAGTACATTTAGTTTTACAATTTAAAATTAGTATAATAATAACAATATTAATCATTCAAATATTTTTAATCTATTGGTACTAAATATATATTTATGCAGTTGCTTAAACTTAAAATATTTAATAAAAATATAGTTTTCTTTTATGATGGCTTAATAGATTCTATTTTTTTTAATTTAATAAAGAAAACAATATTTTCTGAGGCGTTCCGTCTTCGACTAGAACTCCTTTCAATTTATAATTAATTCCATAGTTGCCGTTTTCAGTATGAATCGTATCCAACTTGTGGAAAAGGACTGATCCGGTTCAATGAATTGCAAAATCCTATTGCAAATACGTTATTAAAATATTATATTTCTATAAGTAAATTTAGTCAATTGGAACAATTTTGTTCCATAGCTTAACTAAAGTTTGATTTGATTTCTTGTAAATACAATACAAACAAATATTTTATATAAAGAATATTGTTTTCATAATTTTATTCAATTTGAATGTATGAAATTAATTCTTACATAAAATATTAAACGAATAGACATACTTTGTAAAAAATAAGCAAATATTTTGTGGTAAATAATAAAACAACACTCCCCGTACTATTTATTTTTGGAAGTTTTGAAGGAAAATAAAATTTCATTAAAGAAAAGTATGTGTTTTACTTAACAATTATTTCAAAATAATTGTTTATCGGTTTAACATCATATTTTATTTATCTATTGAAATAATACCTTTTTATTGATAAGACGTATTATATAAGATAAAACTATATCCTATCAATCATTTTTGTTAAATCAAATTAAAGTTAGTTTTTTTAATTAGGAGATAAAAGTTATTATTTTTAATTAAATTAAAATAATTACAAAATAAGATTTATTTTAAATATTTTTAATTATTTAACAATAAACATTAAATCATTCTTATAAGTATTCGTATTCGAACTCACAACCTTTAACCACAAATATCTTCTTTGGATTTGAATAAAAGGTAAAATTATGTTCGCGGAATACTGCCATAAAAATCTGGCATTTCTAAAATTCAAGCGAGAAATATGGTGGCTGTCTTTCACCTGTACAGTTTCAAATTCCTCCCCAATAAATACAAAACTCAGA